AAAAAATGAGTCATATAATATGCAGTCTATACAAAAACCATAAATTAGTGACAGAGTCATAGCACAACTAATGTGTTAAAATGAACAAATAGTTGTAATAGTTATTATTGTGCTCAAAGCTATGCAAAAAGTCTCCAAAACGTCTCCACGCGGTTGCCCTATTGATGTCTAAATTATAATCAGTAATATTTTGACTGTAAATTGTTGTATCAAATAAACCGCTGTTAACAATATAATGAGGCGCAAAGTACAGGACGTACTACATTTCAATTAAATTAAGTTTATTTTTAAATAGTGTATTTTATTTCGATATAAAAATAAGAAATAACAAACTTGTAAAAATGAAATATGTGAAAAAATTAAAAATAAAACATTTGATAAATTACGGTTACAGAGCAAAATTAAAACTCGCTTTATTACAACCCTCTCTCCCTCTCGTATACATTACGTCAATCATATTAGTACAGCCAATGCTATACGGGTTGTAATTAAACGAGTTTTAATTTTGCTCTGTAACTGTTAATAGAATTTATTCTTGAATTAACACCGGTTCATCTGTTTTTACTTTTGTAAAAGTTTTTGGTTTGTTTTGTTTGTGGATCTGAACGGTAGGCCAGGAATGCGACGATTATAGAGACAATAATAATTATATAATACAATACAATTTAATACAACTAGCCACCAGCCATTAAGTCTGTTACCCATTTCATCATTCTATTCCCCTCTATGTGTTTTCTCTATGCATTCACCCCATACTCTCTATAGTTGTCACTACCCTCCCACCCCCTATTGTATGCTAATACCTATTGTAACGCTGTTTTCTAATGTAAATTTTATTTCAAATGTAAATACTGTTAACTCTTGTATCTTGGACCAGTCTCGAGCCAGAGAAATTAGTCCAAGATAGAAGGAATCCAAGATAGAAAAATCCAAGATAGATATAGTAAAACATAGTAAAAATCCAAGATAGACGGTCGGTTTTAAATTCATGTAAAATACCGACTAAATTTAGGATTATTAATCTTTTTAATTATGTTATTTATAGCAATTAATAGTAAAATGGTCATAAAATAACTAATTAATAACAAAACACGATTATTTCCGAAAAAATATATAATTTTTGTATAAAATATAGACAAATTTTCGTTAAAATAATTTTTATGCGACGATATTTATGGTATTTTTAAAAAATCCAAGTTACGAGACACTAAAATAGTTATTGGGTCTCGGAAAATAAGTCCAAAGTCCAAGATAGAAAGTCCAAGTTAGGAGAGAATTTAACATTAAGCTCCTATGGAGTGAATTGGGACTCAATGTTTGAGTCCAAGTTAGGCAAAAATCCAAGATATAAGAGTCCAAGATACAAGAGTTAACAGTATGATAATTATTATGAGAATGAGTGCCAGAGTTATAAAAATAAAGATAAAAGTTGTTGTTCCCTGTGGTGCAGCTGATGTATGTTATAAAAATGAAATTTGTCAAAGTAATACAATTTATTCCTAAATACAAATATAATAAAATAACAAAATAATTTCAAGTTTTACACAAATAAGAATTTTATCCACGGATATTAAAGGATATTATATTTAAGCGCTTATTTGGCATTTGTTTTGTCCGTATTATCGGTTGGTTTTGTTTGTCGATCAAAACGATAGGCCAGGAATGCAACGATTAGAGAGACAATTATGAGAATGAGTGCCAAAATTATAAAAATAAAAGTATAAATTGTCGTTCCCTGGGATTCACTGCTTGCGGCCGATGTGTGGCATAAAAATGAGATGTAATTTCCTTTCAGCTATAAAATAAATATAATTATTAAATAAATTATTTTTAAAGACCACACAAACCCTCAAGTGATCAAATGGTCGTGAATTTAGTTGATTCATAATTTTGTTATAAACTGTGATTTCATAAATCCTGAGTTTATTTTGTCCGTAAATAGACTGTTCAATGAGAGCGTAAATCATTGGGGTTTTGTCGGATTCAAGAGTGAAAAATCCGACGACTTTTCCGTTAAGAGTGGCTTTGCTTTCATTCCAGAAATTAATGTCGAAGTTATGCTCAAAAGGAAACATAAATCTCGATTTGGTGTCTGATTTGGTGTCTGATTTGGTGTTTGTGAGACATAATAGAGAGCCCGTAAGTGCATAGGGTTTGTGAGCCAATACATGTATGACTGAGACTTCCAATAGGAAACGCCGATAGCTGTGATCGACTGATTGCTGGGGATTATCGCTGACACCGAACCAAATGTAATGGCAATAGAACTTTGACTCATGAATCGAGAGGTATTAGTGATCGGAAGCAATGATTTTACGCCCAAATCTATTCTCATTGAAAACATTGCAAATATGTTTTGTCCCAACATTTGATACTTTGGGTGACTTTTGCCGTGAAATACCACTTCATGTGTTTCCGATCCGTTTCTCACTTTTGTGGCGAAATCGTAGTCTACTGTATATCCGACGACACGTTCTCTCGTGTCTAACCGTAAGAATTAGTGATTATTTTAATCAAAACTTAATCAAAAATAATTACTGAAATAATAGGCCAATAGTTGTGTGATATCCATATCTAAATCAAATTGTTTTCTTGTTTTGTCGTAAGCATAGAAATATCGATCCTTTTGGTGGTATAACTTGAGACCAATATTGAAAACACTGTGCCTTTCATTGGATTCAATCTTTTCATTGCAAACACCTTTTCTACGATTACTTAACGCGGGATAAGTATGTTTGTGCGGACACGCGAACAGGTCTTTCAATTCCTCCGACGAGAGCTATAAAAATGTTTCCAAACAATTGTATAGAAGTTTTGTGTATATTATATCCACACTTACCCTAAAATCATAATTATTGTTTTTAATGGACATATCATATAACGTGCCGTCGCTTGTCTTCCCGTATCCATAAATGTTTCCGTTTTTATTAAACAAAGATTTAAACCAAAGTATAATAAAGTCTTGTGTCTTATTAACGGAGATTTGAGATGTGGTTGAATCGTAAGCCCAAACTACTCGATGTAATTTCCATTTGGAGTGTGTCTTAGAATGCGTTACAATTATTACATCATTAACTCCTGAGGACGGGTTCGAAACCGCGGACACAACGGTATAATCTTTGTTGGGATACGTGTCTACTCTAAGCCAAACGGCTGAACACAAATCCTTTTCACGTTTTGGATGAATACTAGAAGTCGAGTATCGATAGGATTTGATGTGTGGGTGAACTCCGGTCTCATTTAGTGACGGTTTAAACCCATAAACGCAGAGACGATAATGAAATGGTGAGCTCTGGAAGAATGAATTACAAGTTGTGTCAAATTCAGAGCACTCGTCACTATAGTGTGGTTTGTATATAAAGCCATGAATGGGTTGATATGTGTCTGTTATAAATATGTGAAACGGTTTTAATTAATAATTAGTTATTAATGACTAATCATTAATATGTAATTTCATACCAAAGCCATCTCTTTCTAACAAATCCGTGAAATGGGATTCAAAGCTCAAATTAATGAGTGAATCGTCTGTTAAGTTGGGATTTGATTGTCGTGTAAATCCCATTGAATTAATTCGCCAAAAGTTTCCGTCTTTTTTGAAATAAGTGTCAAATCCAAGACTGAAAACTGAATCATACTTTTGTTTCGCCGAACAAAACACGTGTGGATTCAAAAGCACTGCCTCTTCGAAGCATCGAAATACTTGTTTGAGTTGTAATTTCTATTAAATAAACATTTATGTCAATTAAATCACAGGATTTAAAAACAATAAAAAACATAATTAACAAACCGATTGAAAGAAAAAGTATTGTGAAATTGATTTATCATAAACCGCCTCATATATAGTGGCGTTAATGTCGGCATTGATGGGTAATGCGATAAAACGGTCCATTTCATGCAAACGGATCATGTGATGGATATATGCTTTCAATTCAACTGAAACGCCGGTCAGAAAGCGTGAGGTATCCAAAGACAACATAAAGTTTTCTGTCGCCGACTTCTCAAATATAATGACATTCCTCTCAAACTTCTTCTCCACATCCGTTCCGTTACTGTCTTTTATTAATGAATAGTATTTCACTTTCAAATAACTACTTATTGGCAATAAAGCGGTTGTTTTGGGTAAGTTTGCAAACTGTTGGGCCTTTTTGAGCAGCACTTCATAAGTTTGATTACAGATTTGCATCAATTGTTGAAATGGGTGGTGAGTGTCGTAATAAATCTTGTTAGTCATCCTATTGTAGTGAATAATCTTTAGGCCAAAGACTAGTTTAACAATGAAAATAGTAATTCAATTTTAATTGATTGATTTTAACGTTTATTTAAAGCAAATACCAGATTGTGTGGCAGAAATTCCGGGCATTTGTTTAAATGTGGTGTAAACGCATACAAACTCGGAATAGGGGTCCTTTCGAGTGGCAATTATTTGGTCGCAAAAATATCCTTTAAGATATGTATTGTCCGTAATATTGCCGGCGATACACGAGTCGTATGTGTGGTCGATGTCTACCATTACTGCAGTTATCTGAGTGTCCACTTCTGTTACACATAATTATTTTATCAAATTTGAATTTGAGTTTACATTTTGCAAATATATAATAATTAATAATCATTCAATTGAATACAAACCCCAAAACATATAAGTTTCCATATATTTGAGGATATTTGTAGAATCGATGGCACTCTTATAGTTTGGCATAACATCTGCTATGTTTGGATGTCTAACAATAGTCTCATTTATTTTCCACAATTGTCTGACTGTTTGTCCATTTGTGGGATCAGTTGTATTGATGTGATAAAACATGTCATTTTTTATTTGAAAAACGCTAATCATATTGAGTGTACGACATAAGCCATGTTGTGACGAGTGTTGGCCACAAATCACTTGCAAATAAATCATCAAAAATAATGTTTGGATTATAAAGGCTTTCATTATAAAGGCGTTGATCTTTTCGGATAATTTTTTCAATTATTATAAACAATGAGATTTTTGTATGCGTTTTGAATTTAAAATATCGGTTATTAAATAATTCAATAATTCTATTGTTATTGTGATAAAAATTTAAATTGTTGGAAATGTTATCATTTTTATTAAAAGGCTAAATAAGTTTACTTCAATTCTATGGTTTATTGTAAGCTACAAGTTGTAACAAAAAATTAGATATTGATAAACATAAGAGGTAATTGAAAAATACTTAAAGTAATATAAATAAATCGTTATAAATTATAACTTATAAGCATGTTTGTGAATTTTTCAAAAAAGGAGTGGAATTTCACTCAAAAAAAGTTGATATAGCTATAAAGTGATTAAGGGATTATATCCAGGCACATAAAATCATGAGATGTTTACACTATAATACTTAGGGATTTCACTGAAATTTTCATATGAACATTTCATTTAGGCTAAATATTGAAATTTTGGGCTAAATTTTCATTAAAATGTGAAATCTTCATATGTTTTAAACTAGATACTTTTAATGTGGTGAAATATATAAGCATCAAACTAATTAAAACATTTTTCATTTAAAATAATTACGAAAATTATTTTGGTTCTTTAAATATTTCAAATTAAGTAAAGATTCTTGCAAATATTTTACTATTTTTTTGAGTGATCAATGTAGCAAAATTCCTAAGCTTGCTTATAAGTTAATAGTAAAATGCATTTCTAAATTCATATAAAATAAAATAAGGAAATCATAACAGTTTTTAAACGAAGAATAATTTTGTGATATTTAAGCGCTTATTTGTCTTTTATCGAGGTTTTCGGTCGTTTTGTTTACTGATTGGACTGATTGTAACACAAAAATATACATGTTTATGAATTAATTTTAATTGTAAATAATATATTTTATTTCGACATATAAATAAGATTGACTAAAAGTAAAATAAGTGAAAAGAATTTGTTATAAAATATTTGATAAAATAATACAATTAATTCTTGAATTAACGTCAGTTTATCTGCCATTAGGTTTGTCCGTATTATCGGTTTGTTTTGTTTGTGGATCTGAACGATAGGCCAGAAATGCGACGATTAGAGAGACAATAATGAGAATGAGTGCTAATATAATAAAAATCGCGGTGAAAACTGTCGATCCTTGAGATTGACTTCTTGAGGCCGATGTGTGGCATAACAATGATATGTAATTTCCCCTCAGCTAAAGATAAATACAATTATTGGATATAATATAAGAAACAACACAAACCCTCGAGTAATCAAAAGGTATTGAAATTAATTTATCCATATTTTTGTTAAGAACTGTGATTCCAGAAAACTGGAGCACATTTTTTCCGTAAACAGTTTGTTCAATGAGTGCGTAAAGTATTGGTGTTTTGTCGGTTTCAAGAGTGATAAGGCCGACAATATTGCCTTTAAATGCTAGTGTCTTGTCGTTCCAACCCTTAGAATCGAAGTTCCGTTCAAAAGGAAACATAAATTTTCCTTTGATTGTTGAGACATATGCTGTCCTATAGTTCTTCACATTTTTAATCCAATACATAACTGATTGTAACTTCCAATAAATAGCGCCGATAGCTGTGATCGACTGATCGTTGGGGACTATCGTTGACACCGAACCCAATGTAATGGCAATAGAGCTCTGATTAGTAAATCGAAAGGTATTAGTGATCGGAAGCAATGATTTTACGCCCAAATCTATTCTCATTGAAAACATTGCGAATATGTTTTGTCCCAACATTTGATATTTTGGGTGACTTTTGCCGTGAAATACCACTTCATGTGTTTCCGATCCGAATCTCAATTTTTTGGCAAAATCGTAGTCCACTGTATATCCGACGACACGCTCTCTCGTGTCTAACGGTAAGAATTAATGAGTATTTTGATTGAAACTTAATTAAAAATAATTACTAAAATAATAGGCCAATAGTTGTGTGATATGCATATCTAAATCAAATTTTTTGTTTGTATTGTCGTAAACATAGAAATATCGATCCTTTTGGTGGTATAACTTAAGACCAATATTGAAAACACTGTGCCTTTCATTCAATTCAATCTTTTCATTACAAATACCTTTTCTTCGATTACTTAACGCAGGATAAGTATGTTTGTGCGGACACGCGAACAGGTCTTTCATTTTCTCCGAAGAAACCTATAAAAATGTTTTAAATAATTGTATAAAAGCCTTCAAAACTATTACTATGTTTATCCAAACTTACCGTAAAATAATACTTCTTATTTTTAATGGACATATCATATAACGTTCCGTCGTTTTCCTTCCCGTATCCATAAATTTTCCCATTTTTATAAAACAAAGATTTAAACCGAAGTATAATAAAGTCTTGCGTCTGATTAACAGAGATTTGAGATGGGGTTGAATTGAAAGCCCAAACCACTCGATGTAATTTCCATTTGGAGTGTGTCTTAGAATGCGTTATAATAATTACATCGTTCACTGCAGAGGACGGGTTGGACACCGCGGACACAACTGTATAGTCCGTGTCGACAGTGAGCCTAAACACTGCCGAACACATATTGTCTTCTTGTTTGGGATGAATANACAACTGTATAGTCCGTGTCGACAGTGAGCCTAAACACTGCCGAACACATATTGTCTTCTTGTTTGGGATGAATACCAGTTGTTGAGTATCGATAGGATTTGATTTGTGAGTGAACTCCGGACGCATTCAGCGACGGTTTAAATCCATAAATGCAAAGATGATAATGAAATGGTGAGCTCTGAAAGAATGAATTACATGTTTTGTCATCTGTAGAGCACTCGTCACTATAGAGTGGTTTGTATGTAAAGCCATGAATGGATTGATATGTGTCTGTCATAAATATGTGAAACGGTTTTAATTAATAATGAGTTAAACTATTCATTAATATATAATTTCATACCAAAGCCATCCTTTACTACCAAATCTGTGAATTGGGATTCAAAAATCACATTAATCAGTGAATCGTCTGTTAAGTTGGGATTTGATTGTCGTGTGAATCCCATTGAATTCATTCGCCAAAAGTTCCCGTCTTTTTGGAAATAAGAGTCGAATCCGAGACTGAAAACTGAATCATACTTTTGTTTCGCCGAACAAAACACGTGTGAATTCAAAAGCACTGCCTCTTCGAAGCATCGAAATACTTGTTTGAGTTGTAGTTTCTATCAAATATTAATATCAATGAATATGTTTTGAATTAATACTTAACAAACCGATGGAAAGAAAGCGTATTGTGAGACAGTCTTATCGTAAAAACTTTTCGATAAATTAGTATTAATGCCGGCATTAATTGGAAATGCGATCAAACGGTCGACTTCTTCCAAACGGATGATGTGATGGATGTTTGCTTTCAATACAACCGAAACTCCGGTCAGAAAGTGTGATGTGTCTGAAGAGACCATAAAGTTTTCTGTCGCCGACTTCTCAAATATAATTACATTCCTCTCAAACTCCTTCTCCACATCCGTTCCGTTACTATCTTTAACCATTGAATTGTATTTCATTGTTATGTAACTACTTATTGGCAATAAAGTGGTTGTTTTGGGTAAGTTTGCGAACTGTTGGGCCTCTTTGAGCAGCACATCATAAGTTGTATTACAGAATTGCTTCAATCGTTCAAATTGGATACTCGTGTTATAATAGATCTTATTAGACATCTTATTGTACTGAATAATCTTTAGGCCATAAACTAGTTTAGCAATAAAAATAATAATTTCTCTAAAATTGAATTAATATTTTTAATTGTGGAAAAGACCGGATTGTGTGGCGGAAATGCCGGGCATTTGTTTATATGTGGTGTAAACGCATATAAACTCTAAATTTGGGTCCTTTTGAGTGGCAATTATTTGATCGCAAAAATATGCTTCACTTATATTGTTGGCGATACACGACTCGTATGTGTCGATAATGTCCACCAGTACTGCCGTTATTTGTGTGTCCACTTCTGTTATCAATTATATTAATTTAATTTTAATGTTGAATATTTAAAGTTGTTATAAAATCCGAAATTTGTAAACATAATCATAATGATAAACAATATACTAATGTCATTGAATACAAACCCCAAAACATGCTATTTTCCATATATTCGAGAATATCTGAAGAATCGATGGCAGTGTTAAAGTTGGGCATAACGTATGGTATATATGGCTCTCTCCTCATGTTTGAGATCTCATTTATTTTCCATAATTTTCTTACTCTCTGTCCATATATGGGATCAGTTGTATTGATGTGATAAAAGACTTCGTTTTTTATTTGAAAAATACTAATCATATTCAGTGTACGACATAAGCCATGGGCTAACGAGTGTTGGCCACAAATCCTATGAAAATAAATCACTAGAAGTAGTGTTTGAATTAAAAAGACTCTCATTTTAACTGATATTTGCATAACTTTTAAAATATAGGGATTTTGAAAATCACTTGAGTTTGAATTACTCTTTATTAATACTATTGTTACAGCAATAAAACAATATATTGTACAATAAATTGATTACAATGTTAAATCATTTACAAGTTCATGTAATTTTTATAATCTCATTATAAAAGGTAGTAAGAAAGATGGCGGTTTTGTCCAGGTAGATAGTAAAATAGTTAAATAATAAAATTTATTTCTAAATACAAATATAATAAAATAACAAAATAATTTCAAGTTTTACACAAATAAGAATTTTGTAAAATTTAAGCGCTCATTTTGCTTTTGTTTTGTCCGTATTATCTGTTTGTTTAGTTTGTTGATCGAAATTGTAAGCCAGGAATGCGACGATTACAGAGATAATAATGAGAATGAGTGCCAGAATTATAAATATAAAGGTATAAATTGTCGGTCCCTGGGATTCAATGCTTGCGGTCGATGTGTGGCATAACATTGAGATATAACTGCCTCTCAGCTAAAAAATAAATACAATTATTGAAAAAAAATCTATAAAACCACACAAACCCTCAAGTGATCAAATGGTCGTGAATTTAGTCGATCCATATTTGTGTTATAAATTGTAATTTCATAAAACTGAAGCACATTTCTCACGAAAAAAGTCTGTTCAATGAGAGCGTAAATGATTGGCGTTTTGTCGGATTCAAGAGTGAAAAATCCGACGACTTTCCCGTTGAGAACGGCTGTCCTTTCGTTCCAATACTTAAGATCGAAGTTATGCTCAAAAGGAAACATAAATCTCCATTTGGTGTCTGAGACATAATAGACGGCCTGAATGTCTACTGGGTTTGTGAGCCAATACATGTATGACTGAGACTTCCAATAAGAAGTGCCAATAGCTGTGATCGACTGATTGTTGAGTATTATCGTTGACACCGAACCAAATGTAATGGCAATAAAGCTCTGACTCGTGAATCGAGAGGTATTAGTGATTGGAAGCAATGATTTAACGCCCAAATCTATCCTCATTGAAAACATTGCGAATATGTTTTGTCCCAACATTTGATACTTTGGGTGACTTTTGCCGTGAAATACCACTTCATGTGTTTCCGATCCGTTTCTCACTTTTGTGACGAAATCGTAGTCCACTGTATATCCGACGACACGTTCTCTCGTGTCTAACCGTAAGAATGAATGATTATTTTGAAACTAAATTGAAAAATAATTACTGAAATAATAGGCCAATAGTTGTGTGATATCCATATCTAAATCAAATTGTTTTCTTGTTTTGTCGTAAACATAGAAATATCGGTCCTTTTGGTGGTATAATTTCACACCGATATTGAAAACACTGTGCCTTTCATTGGATTCAATCTTTTCATTACAAACACCTTTTCTACGATTACTGACTACAGGATAAGTATGTTTGTGCGGACACGGGAACAGGTCTTTCAATTTCTCCGAAGAAGGCTATAAAAATGTTTGCAAACAATTATAAAAAAGTATTTACATCTATAATATCGAAACTTACCGTGAAATAATAATTAGTGTCTTTACTCGACATATCATATAACGTTCCGTCGTTTTCTTTCCCGTATCCATAAATTTTTCCATTTTTATAAAACAAAGTTTTAAACCGAATTATAATAAAGTCTTGCGTCTTATTAACGAAGATTTGAGATGAGGTTGAATCGAAAGCCCAAACCACTCGATGTAATTTAATTTTATGATGTATTTTAGATTTTGTTACAATAATTACATCGTTTACTGCGGAGGACGGGTTGGACACCGCGGACACAACGGTATAGTCCGTGTCGACAGTGAGCCTAAACACTGCCGAACACATATCGTCTTCTTGTTTGGGATGAAAATCAGTTGTCGAGTATCGATAGGACTTAATGTTTGGGTGAACTCCGAATTCATTTCGTGACTGTTTAAACCCATAAATGCAGAGACGATAATGAAATGGTGAGCTCTGGATAAATGAATTACAAGTCTTGTCAAATGACGAACACTCGTGACTATAGAGTGGTTTGTATGTAAAGCCATGGATGGGTTGATATGTATCTGTTATCAATATGAATAATTTAAATTAATTATGAGTTTAACTAATCATTAATATGTAATTTCATACCAAAGCCATCCCTTTCTAACAAATCCGTGAAATGGGATTTAAAAAACAAATTAATGAGTGAATCGTCTGTTAAGTTGGGATTTGATTGTCGTGTGAATCCCATTGAATTCATTCGCCAAAAGTTTCCGTCTTTTTTAAAATAAGAGTCAAATCCCAGACTGAAAACTGAATCATACTTTTGTTTCGCCGAACAAAACACGTGCGGATCGAAAGGTAAGGCTTCTTCGAGACATCGGAAAACATGTTTGAGTTGTAATTTCTATCAAATATTAATATTTATTAAATCAAATGTTTAGACTTATAAAACATATCAATAAACTAACGGATGCGCGAAAGACATATTTGGAGGCCTTTTTCTCATAAAAACCTTCCGATACACTCGTATTAATGCCGGCTTTTATTGGAAATGCGATCAAACGATTGACTTCTTGCAAACGGATGATGTGGTGAATTGTCTTCAAATCGGTGAAAATGTTAGACGTGTTTGCCGTGTCGGACGAGACGATCACGTTTTCGGTCACCGACTTCTCAAATATAATGACAGTCCTCTCGTACTCCACTTCTATGACGTCGACTCCACTTTCATTTACGTTACTATTCTTCACGAATGTATTGTATTTCATACGAAGATAACCACTAATTGGCAGTAAAATCGCATTTGTGGGCAAATTTCCAGAATGTTGCGCCTCTTTAAGCGGCCCATAGTATGCATTGCTACACATTTGCATCAGTTGTGGGAACTCTAGACTTGTGTTGTAAAAGATTTCATTTGTCATCCAATCGTATTGAATGATTTTTAGGCCATAAACTGGATTACAATTTAAATAATTAATTTAATTTC